GTGGGTATTTGTGCACATTTGTGCTGTAAAACCAAAGAAGGGTTAATACATGTTTAGGCCCATCCCTGGGCTAAAAACTTTCTCCCACAAATGAGGATAGTATATTCGGCCAACAGCAAAGGATTAGGCCTCTCAGGGTAGACACAACTTTATGTTCACATGGGAGTTTTCGCAACCGGAGGTCACAGTGAGGTGAAAGCACTATTGACTTGTCTCAATGTAAGCCTAAGCCCTAGCATTTTTTTCTTCACTGCAAAAGGCAAAAAGTACAAAGACATTTCACCAACATGAGAGTTCCTTCCATACATGAAACAAAATGCGTCGGGACATTGCAGTTTTTGCTAAACCTTCACTGCAGTGATTTTTGCAGTTGAGTAAAAATGTGGGTTTGACAAGTCAGAGTTCCATAGGCCTCCAGACATCACTAATTTTTATAAATAGTACAGTCGTATAGGCCTAGGCCTCTCAGGGAAGTGATCATGGTGATTATGGACATAAACGTGCGTGACTGTCTAGTCGCCAGGTCCTTAATTTGGCCTCGTCCGTAATTTCACCACCTATTACCAAGTCTGAGTGGTTTTCACAGTAAGTGGCATAATGAGGGACCTGGCAATAATACGGTAATGCACGTCATATGTTCTAAAATGTCAAATTTTGTAGGAGAAATATTGGAGTATTTACTCAGAAAATTGGTCTAGGCCTTCTTATATGTACATAGGGTTTGTGCTCAGGGGTGACAGGGTGTCAAGTATAAGTGGTGTCCGTGCATAAGCCTTATCACTAATACTGCAAGTGTGATTTTGAACAATAGTATAAAAAAAAGGCATCATGGGAAGGAAAATGGGGCAAACATTGCCCCTTTTCCTTCCCCACAATGCCTTTCAGCAGTTGTGCCAAATCAGCCATGCAGTATATGCGATAAGGCTTATGGAACTCTTTCTAATGGAAGACAAAAGAGTTCCATATGCAGACACCAGTAATTACTCCCTACAGTGACCTATTAGCCATCAGAAAGCCAAAACATGTCAAGAAAAGTTCAATTTTGGAGGGAAAAAGGAAAATGTTTTATGGCCTACATAGAAAACGCTTTTAGCAGAGTCCCCTAACATGGCACATTTTAACTTTCATTTAAGTTTCCTCCCACAGCATTTGCCAAACCTTTGCATTGAAAAACTCCCAACTCATCTGGTTAAATATTGCTAGTACTATAACCCTCATGATAAATGTTGTTGAACATTTGTGAACAATTTCAGTGACCTGGAATTTCAACCGAAATCCAAAAATGTCGGCATGCAGAAATTGAGCTCGAATTCAGCTGAGTGTTCCCTAATGTGACGCACTTGAAAAAATCTCACAAAATCCCACATAGGCCTAAACACTTTCAAAATTCTTTTAAGTTGATAAATTCTTGTAAATTCCTGATGAACAGAAAATGTCATCAGAACTATATTTGCAGATACACAAAATTGAGATTTTATGAATCAGAATAGGAGTTTGATGAAGTTTACTGATAGTGAAATCTGACTCAGATTCTGAGGTAAAAATATTGCTCCGGTAAGACATGACGAGAGGCGAAAAATGAAGATGTGATGTTAGGGGTCACGCCACGTTAGGGTAGGCACACATCACCTTTGGAATTTTTCAGACAAGTTTCAAAGGGTTTGTGCACAGGGTGTCAACATGGTTAAGTGGCGTCCATATACGAAACTCTTTTCCCTTTCCAAAATGTCAACGTTTAAATTTAACGTGTCCGGATTTTGGGCACATTAATGCCATGGTAATGGTTGGCATCGTATAAAATATTATCATGCATGTCACGAGTAAGCCCACCGTTACTAGCGGCGTTAGCATGGACATGGTTAGGCCTACATTGATCACGTACACTTATCCTAATTCTGCGCCTACATCATCAACACATCAATCATAATTGCCAACATTGACACGATTGAGCGGGGTCGGACGTCGGACGGTGTCGGACCCCATAGTTTTGGGTGTAAACATTGACCATCCATGCCAACGCAGTAAATGCTAAGATTCATTGTTTAATCATTAAAACGTGCATTCTGTCAAACACATTTCAATCACCAATCACACTCACAGGGACGTGTATCGGCAGTAAAATGTCAAACACATCTAGCTATCGAGAATTAATTTCTTGGAAAAAAACAACCCACCTTCGTCTCACTCGCACCATTTCTACACATATCTTCGCGCAAAGTAATAAATATTACGGTTAGCCAATCAACGCGCTCAACTAGCTCACGTGATATACCTGCAGGAAGACATGCCCCAAAGCCAAAAAGAAACGCTCAAAGATAGTGAATTCGTGCAGCCCAAAGGCAAGTTTTCGAGTGGTTCTTTTTTTTCAAAACAAAAGGAAAAAGATATGTTTGCATGATTTCCTGCTGGAGGATATTCTCTCACGTAAAGTTTTTTTTTCTCTCTCTCTAGCAAATACCCTAAAAGTGAACAGCGCCCTGGCTTGGTGCTGGACTGGTTCCGTCCCCATCGCTCATCTCTCTGAACTGGAATGTAGTAGGTTTATTCGAGAGGCGGCAACCAGTCGAGCTCAGCGCTAAAGATTTGAGGGCGCACTGCAAGTTAAGTGGAGGCATGGTGACGCGGGACAGTCCACCAATTCAAGCCCCAATGCCCCAATGAATTAAAATAGTGTAAAATCAGTACTATTCAGCAAGGCCCAATAACATACATACCAACGTCCCTTAGATTTCTTAAACACAAATGAAATTATTGTCTGGCCCCTAGTATTTCCATTTCTTTTCAATTTCCTTTGTGTTAACCAAATACATTTTTAATTATTCCCACAAAACCAAATCACCCCCCCGAAAAGTGATTTATCCGAAGCCTGATTGCAGCCATTTTTCAAGTGGCAACCCTCAAATTTCTGGGGCACTTAGGACCATTTTTCAACCGTAGTTTTTAGCCATTCTGCTCTCATATAAAATCTCAAAGACCCATGGCACTGATCCCGGCTACGATTTACACAATCTTATAATTTTGGGGGCCAAACAATCTTCTTTTTCAAAAGATACTATGGGGGGCACTTTTAATGCTGATGAGCTGGCAAGAAATGTTCACCTGAATTTGTGGACTGCACCGAAAAGTAGAAATTAATATTATGTAGGCTCCCTTTTATGTACTTTATTGTGAGGAAAATTACAGATTGAAATCGAACGCCCAAAACTATGTCCACAAGTCCAATCAAGTTCTGTAAGCCTACATGTGTGTATGTTTTGTTGGTTTGCAAGCTGTAGTTAAATGACTTAAGTTAAACGTAACCTCTCGTAATTTCGACGTCGCTGTGCGTGCTGTGGTTTCTGTGGGCTGAACTTATATTTCTAAAATCGTGTTTCTGTTTGTTTGGTTGTTTGTTTGTTGGGGTGTTGGGGTGTTTGTTTTGTTTATTCGGATTATGCGTACGTTCAGTCCTACCTCTTGAAACTCAGTAGTCATAGGAGATTTGATAAAGTCAGAATGTTTACTTGATGCTATAAATGAAATTTGCCTGCAAGTTTCTTCTGGTGAACGCCCTTCGGGGGTGCATTCCACCAAATCGTTGAATTTCTGAGCGCCAGCTCATTAATATTTTGTGATCCCACGGGATTTTTACATGCCATAAACAGGAGGGATCGAAAACATAATTCTATAAATCCCGAATTTGGACTGGTAGTTTCCAGTTCGGGATATTTCACAAAAAGCCCCAACCTTTATTTTGGATAGAGGCGGGCGGCTACATTCAGAGCTGAACACATAGTTTTACTACTATGGGGGGGGTATCTTCAGGGAAAGGCGAATAAAAAAATTCACGAGCTAACCCTCACAAAATTGACACAAAAAGTGATATTTTGGCCATAATCTTTAATTTCCAGTGAAAAAACGGAGGCAAACCTCTTCCTGAGAGTCAACGGGCGGCGCTATTTTGGTCTGATTTGGCACTGTTTTCTATGCACGCGTGAATGGTGTGGTGCATGTGAAGCGCCCTCAGTCGTTGTAATCGAGGTGCATTGCCGTTGAACCGGAGCAAAGACTGAGGTCCGTACGTGCAGAAGAAGACGGACACTGAGGTAACTATCCACTCATTTTGTCTAAAGGTCTGTTTCCATTAGTGCATACTTTCCTGATGATATAAACCGAGTACGTAACAATGGAATGATAAAAAACAGGCTGTCCATTTTGAAACAGCGTGCCACGTTTCTCAATTCGGTGGATTAGTTTTTGTTCCCTCCATCTTTTTTAGAGTTCTGGCCAGGGGAAAAATAATGTTTAGGTTTTATGAAGAAATATCAGGGAAAAAATGGGCACATCAAGAAGACAAATCCAGGAAAGGTTGGATTAAACCAAATTATGTGATTCCATCCAGTAAATATAAAATGCGCAAGTATACACCGCTTGGAGTGCTTTGCCTCACTGACCTTACCACCCACCGTTTGTCACGTCCATGTAAAGTCCTCACATTGAAAGAGTTAACGAAGTTGTGCATTTGGCATTCAGTCGTGCATTCTCTATCAACAGTGTTTCCCCTCATAGAACCACCGAGTGCAATCATTTTGCAATCAGCGAGTAGCTTTACAAGAAAGCAGGTAAATATGACTTTTTCCACGCAGTATTCGTCTTTAGGCAAGCCTCACCCCATTATGTAGAATTCTAATAAGCGACCGCAGGGTCTTTATTCACCAATTTCAAAACAGCTATTTTGTAAGCAACAAATACTGCAGATCCGACAACAAACATTACCGAAACCTTCTGCCACAGGGTACAGGTCTTTAGCTAAACTAACCGAAAAGGCTTCAGGGCGCTTCACACTAACAAGACAAAAAGATTTTGAATTAACGATTAAATCTGACAGGAACATTGTATTGGGCACTTATTTGGCAGACGGTGCTAGCATTAATGATGGTTCCAGGGAAAATGTTGTCGCTCCAGGGAAAAACACCGTTCGTTTGTCCTTGATCCTTGTGAAAACAGCCTGGAAGTTTTGAGGAACTTAATCTATTGTGCAGGATTTAGCCAGCGGATGGCGTGTTTTTGCGAGATACAGTAGAAACGACACGTACATGACTTACAGGTACTTTGGTATAAAGAAAATAGCAATTCTGATTGGTTCAGAGATGGCTACATGCCGTCCTGCGCATGGCTTTAAATCTGTAAACACTCATCAACGTCACCTAATGTTTTGATTTTGTCTTTGATAAAACTTACATCAGTTTTTTCAATTGTCACAACAATAGCAATGCATTGAGAAAAGACAACTTACTTTTAATTGTGATCACCATTTCTTTTTTTCTCAAAGTAAAAGGTTACAAATAAACACAAGTAGGGAATAGACGACCATACGGATTTGGAACCGGGTCTGGGATGACTTTAAGTTAGTGCAATGCGGGCGCACGTTCGGAGCCTAATTCAGGATCTACCGCTCAATCATAAAACCTAGCAGATCTCATGTCCCCTCGGCATTAGCAGTGCGTACGTTAGTCTTGAGTTTTACATACGTACATTGTGTCACCCATCCAGTGCGCACGACGCAGTGCATTGAACTTCCATCCCAAATACCCGACACCGGTCTTATTACTATGGTGGCCCTGGAGGGACATCGCCAATCGTCAATATTAACGTCAATAATTTGCAACCAAATTTACAACCCGCTCTTCAGTCGCGAATATTGAAGCCCTGATGGTCCGCTTCTGGAACCCTTGGATAGGAAAAATAACCTGCAAAGATTTTAGAATTTGTGATATTTTTCGTTCAGTTATTTCTATAAAAAGCCAACTTAGAAAAAGGGCTTTGGAAAATATTTGCTAGTACATCAATTTATAGAAACTGAAAAATTGTCGGACCTAAAAGAAAAATATCCTGCCAAAAATTGATCCATCACTTCCAAAATCTAAAATACATGAAGAACAGTCTAATGTGGCGGTCTCGTACGCAGATGAACATATTACGGTTTGAAATTTTATTGTAGTCCGTCGGTAAAAGCCGAAATAAAAACAGATCACTGTATTTCACAACCTAGTTTGATTTATAAGGTAATCTTAAAGCTATAATCTACTTTTACGGAAGATTCTAATATTTTATTTGGCTGACAACAACTGTGTTATGTCAAATCAATGGAACATAGAACCAATCGACAACAGGTATATAAATCTCTGCAACGTTTTACAATCTGGTTTTCACGTAAACACGGCGAGTGAAAACAAACGTGCATGAACAAGGAGACCTTGGTACGATTTCGCCGGACGTGAAAGGTCGTTGATGAAATTCGTTTTTTACCCATCTCCAAGTGACCTTTCCTTAATATTAGTTTGGGAACACAAAGATACAATTCCAACATGAGTGTTTCATCATGGGATGGTTTCAGTTAGGAATTATTCTTCCCAATATTATCGATCGTGATTGGACGGCCCAATGTAAAATCCCCATAGGCGGACCGAACAAGGGTTCCGGAAGCTTGTGCGTGACCTTTTACTTTCTGGCTCTGTATTCACGACCAAATTCACAACTCGCATATTCGGTCACAAATATTGCAGTGAATTTTTCTCCAGCAAGCTAGGCGGAAATGAAGTGTTCAAGCGCATGTGCAATGACCTACAAGTCGATATTCGGCTGGGCACAACGTTAGAAAGCAATTGCTGTGTCTATAGCCGAGCAACTTCTCTCTCTAGTATACCTGGCTTGCAGGAACAAAATTCGTGGCAATACTTGCGACCGGATACCGGAGATACAACGAGGCGTGACTTTGGTCTCAAATGTTGGCGTCAATATTTGCGAATGAAGAGCAAGTCGTAAATTTGGTCGCAAATATTGAAGATTGACGATGTCCCTCCACGGCCACCATAATGTTGCCGACAACCTTGTTTTGCGTGAACCATTGCCACATGCCACATTGTGGTGCTTCCGCCACTCAGCCACTTCAATAACCTGTATTGCTGGAGTCCCGTCTCCTGACGCCAAACCTTTTACATATTTCAACTTGCCCCCGAGTTCCCCCGAGGCGGGTAACAGACCAAGTTTCTGATTTCCTGTTCGTTATCAACCTGTGGCTTCTTGACAATAGGACTGTCGTAAGATCAGAGGTGTCACCCTGACTATGGCTGGTGGCCCAACTAGATCCGCATCATGTGCAATCTTGTACAGCTTCTTGGTGAAAAATAATCTTTGCAGGCTGAAGGATTTCGTTTCATGTCATTCTCCCGATGGACTGACATCCTTGCATGCCCCCGGTGCATTTAAGTTATTAGCTCGGTGATCCAGATCTAGCTAAAACGTCTTGAATGAGGCTGGGTACTTGTTGCGAATTTGTGTCTTAACTAATAAGACTTGAAAAGTAAGAGTTTATCTTGAATAACCGGTTACCAGTAAAATACCTTGGCCTATTAACCATTTTTCATAATTATATTTTTGTCATTTGAATATTGTAGAACAGGCAGGATATGCATCCTATATATTAACTTAGGACGTT